GGGCAGACTCGGAACAGGTAAGTGGCTTACGAGACTAATATACTGAATGTGCAGTAGGCATAGACCGCGAAGCAGTCCAATATTCCCTCCCCTTTCTTTCTAATTTGTACACTTTTAACTGAAATGCAAGCTTCACGCCTAAAAAAAAAGTCATCAATACAATTACAATTATAATTAAAACCAGTCATATGTACAGATCTAATCGAAACTGAAGCAACGAGTCCCTGTGAAACACTTGTCGGTTAGTATAGACAATAGCATTTATAGTGAAGTAAATCTTTTTTCCAAATAATAATAAACAAGCCTTGATGAGTCTCTTTATAGACGTGATTTTCCGGATTCATTTATACTCAGCAGATGGAATGGTTGAGAATGTAGTGGATATCCGCATTTCGTCAGTAGTGGTTGACCTAGACCATGATGAGTTCAGAGGTAACTGAAGAGCATGGAACAGTTTTTATTTACAATAAATTAACATTCATAATAAGTAAAATGTAAAGTTTACATACACTAATAGTCGATTGGTCTGCTTTGTTCTTTAGGACTTTTTCGAGTCTCTTCGGTATGGAATCTACCAATTTTGTTATGAAGTCATCTATTTGTGCTCCATTTTACGTATTGCACTTTGCCTCCAATGTCCAGTGTACGGGTAGCATATTGACCTCTCTCTTTAAAACAGAAAACCAATTTTCAATCAAGTTGAGATCCGGACTATAAGGGGGAAGTTGTATGAACTGGATCTTAGAGTCATGCATCTTTTCTGAAGTCTAAAAGCAGATAATAAGTCGATCAGTCTCCTTAACTGAATAAATTTACCAACCTCGCATGAAATATGACACGGAGCGTTCGTTATCCTGAAAAAGGATAACTTTTCCAAACGATTCTTTTTCATGAAATTCTGTAAAAATTTCGTCAATACTGATGCAAACTTTCCACTACTCATGGTGCCTTTGACTGATGTTCACCGACAAGGCTGACCATGTTTTGTCAAACATAGATTATCGTTAGTAAACCTTATTTAATGCACGTTCTCCGGATTGATCAAGAATTTCATTCGGTTATCCAATAGAGTTGGTTTAATGGATTATATATTAGATAAAATAATGCCTCATAACAAATAACCGAGATGGCAAGGGTTTATGGAAATAATTTAGGATAAGTCTTGGGTCATTCCTATTAGAAAATATTGCGTTGTAGTACTTAATAAAGTTTGTGGTTTTCATGTGGAGATCATTTAATCTTGGCAACCAAGGTCAGGCATGTTTAGTTGACAATCATGCAGCTTAGAAACTACGTAGATCGAGGTAGAAAAGAGATAAATTATTGTCCATACCTGAAACATTACTATATGCGATAAATATAATGAAACTCAATTTGATCATAAAGAAAATGTTTTAGTGCATCACAGTCGGCCAGTACTGGACAATCAACCAAAGGTACGTCCCTAGTCAACTGCTGTAAGTGGCTGACAATGGCGCACACACACATAGATTTGAAAAGAAAAGACCATATTGCAATACTGCACGATTTATGTCCAGGACGATTTCGCTGCATCTCAACATGGTGCATACTGCAGAAAATACAATGTTTATATAGGGTTTTAGCATAGCAACAGAGTGAGGCAGAAGAACGGCAAAAGAACGTCTGCCTCTGTATGCCAACTCTAATCTAATCTACCAATTCCAATGTGATTGCGGAGTGACCTATGTGGGCCGAACAGAGCGACAATTACGCAATCGGGTGGTGAAACATATTCCAAATTGGGTCCAAAATCAGCTGACCCAATTGAGGTCAAGTCCGCCGCATAGAAACTACAAAACTCCGTCCTCAGCCATTGCTCGA